TATATATCTCCTACAGAATAAACATTTAATTAGAGAATTTAATCTGAATATACTATACAGAAAGAGATGCACATTTAGGTTACTCTAAAGTTATTGTAAGGGAATACATAAATGTGTATATTATTTTTTTTAATAGGAACTGGGGAGAAGGTTGGAGTTTCATGCCTTCTGACCGAGCACTTGTCTTTGTGGATAACCATGACAATCAACGAGGACACGGAGCTGGAGGAGCATCTATTCTTACATTCTGGGACTCTAGGTAGGAAACAAAGTTCTCTAGTGTTTTTACCTACCTTGAAATTAAGATAATAATATCCTATTCTTCTATGATAATATTTTGTGACTTTCAGACTGTATAAAATGGCAGTTGGATTTATGCTTGCTCATCCTTATGGACTTACACGAGTAATGTCAAGCTACCGTTGGCCAAGACAGTTTGAAAATGGAAACGTAAGTTTTGAAATTGTTCAAAAGATCATTTCCTCAAGAAAAAGGAGGGAATTTTGTTCTAATTTAACATGAGGCTATTACATACAATATGTTTTTATCAAATATTAAGTGTAAACCTGATGCAGAACTCTGATTTTTAGTAATGCAGGTAACAGTAAAAAAGTAAAATTCCTATTCTCTGTTGTCAAAGAGTATGAAAGCTGTTTCAGAAATATAACAAACAATCCCCTACCTGCAAGAGAAAATACTTAAAGATAAGAGCAAGATACAGGGAATAAAATATGTACTTCTAAGAAATACCTACCTCATGGGGTTGATATGAGGAGTATGCACACTAATGCTTGTAAAGAACTTAAAATTTCGCCTGCCCATAGTGAAAGCAATATAAGCATTTGTTAAATACTTAAAAAAAAAGTATTATGGAATGAAAAGAAATGATTCAGTTGAGATGAGATTAAATAGGGAAAGTACCTTATAAGAGGAAGAAAATTACATGTATTATATTGAAGAAAATTACATATATTATATTGAAGAAAATTACATATATTAAAGAATTTACAGACTATTTCAGGAAAGGTAAGAATGAGAAAAATAATGGGGAATGTGGTAAAGGCATTAATTTGACTAGCAATTTCAAAAAGGAACCAAGAAGTAAGATTACAAAGATATTTAGAAAACTAGTAGAAGGTTTTCTTTTTAAACCGAATTTTCAGAAGCAGCCATCATACAGAAACTTCACACCTAAAGCAGAAATTTCCCAACCCTACAAGTCAGACAGATATCTATCTAGTTTTTTTCCAGATTCCTTTGAATTTGTGAAGCTTACTACTTTGTACAGTATATTTTAGTGTTAGACAGATTTAATGTTTAGAATGTGTCCCTTTATATTGAGCCAACTTCATATAGTTTTCACTAATAGGTCTTATTTTTGATATCAGGAGTCATGACCTATTTCCTTTTCCCTTTTTCCTATGACATTTCCACTTCCTGAGACTTCTGCATGCTAAAAACTCTTGGTTTTGTTCACTATTCAGCATAAGACATGATTTTAAGACAGGCACTGATAATGCTCCTAGACTTTTTTTTTCCTGTGAGTATCTTTAAAAATGCCTGTCAGAAAAACATGCTATTAAAAATTTGGTCAGTTTTGTAAAAAACATCAGGATGGGTGAATTAGTACATGTATCCAAAAGGAAGCATGAAAGGAACTAATATATATTTAACAATGATCATATTCAAGGCATTTTCTCATACATTATTTAATTTTTATAGCACCCAAGCAATATCCCCATTTCACATATAAGGAAATTGAGGCACAGAGAAGTTTTTCTCAGCTGGTAGTGATGGAGACTATGTTTTAGTCCTGGTGTTTCTGACGCTAAAGCCCTTGCCATTTCAATGACATTGCATGGCTTACAGTCCTTTTAGGAAGACATTACAGTTCCTCAGAAAGGAAATGAGAGGATAAAAAGCTGTTACTCTGGTGTAAAATGTGGCACTAAAGAACCAAGGATAGAGAGAGGATGAAGACTCAGTAAAAGGCTGTAAAAATAAGGAAAGTGTTAGATTCTAAATAAAGACACTGCCCAGACACAAATAGCAGGATAGATTGGCTTTGGTGTAATGGAGAAGGAAAAGGCAAATACATGTATGTTAAAACGTGAGGGTTTCTCTTCTTCCTAATTAAGGATGTTAATGATTGGGTTGGGCCACCAAATAATAATGGAGTAACTAAAGAAGTTACTATTAATGAGGACACTACTTGTGGCAATGACTGGGTCTGTGAACATCGATGGCGTCAAATAAGGTAAGAA